AACACACACACACACACACACACACACACACACACACACACACACACACACACACACACACATATTAAGCCAAGGGACTATTTTTGAGTTCCAGTGTGTGGATCAGCATTGATAGACCAGTGGTGAAATTCTGACACAGATCTCAAACTCTCCCCAAGGTTCAAGGGCGTTTGAATCCATATTTCCAGACCAGATGCATTTTTAAGGTACATGAATAGATAACTGTGAAAAAATGTAACATACATACACAGCGGGTTGATTGATTTATTTTTTAAATCACTCTTATAATGTGATACACCACTGTTGAGACTGGTGTACAAATTTAGAGAGAGAGACGAGTACAAATGGGAATTGCTAGTTTAGATAGATAGATAGATAGATAGATAGATAGATAGATAGATAGATAGATAGATAGATAGATAGATTATGATTGTTACGGTACTGGACTTTCCATAACCCAAAGGATTATTTAGCTCAATGTTTATAGAGAAGTTTCATTGTAGAAACACTGAGCTGATGGTTCTTCCCAAAGCTTCTTTCACATCCTTGTTCCTCAGGCTGTAGATGAGGGGATTCAACATAGGGATGACCAGGGTATAAAACACAGACACCACTTTGCTCTGAGCTGGAGCAGATAGTGAACTGGGCTGGGTATACATGAAGGTAACAGTGCCATAAAATAAACTCACGGACATCATGTGGGAGGTGCAGGTGGAGAAGGCTCTGCGTCTGCCCTCAGCAGAGCGAATCCTGAGGATGGCAGAGATGATGTAAGCATAGGAGATGAGAATGACCATGGAGGTGCTCACGATGATGAGGCCAGATAAAGTGAACATCACCACTTCATTAATGTCTGTGTTGGTGCATGAGAGGCTTAGCAGGGGTGGAATGTCACAGAAGAAATGATCTATCTCATTGGACCCACAGAAACACAGTGTAAAGGTGAAGACTGTTTGCACCATGGAGTTTACACCGCTGCAAACATAGGAACCCACCAGCAGCTGAATGCAAACCTGCTTGGACATGGCGACGGGATACAGGAGCGGGTTGCAGATGGCGGTGTATCGATCATATGCCATGGCTGCCAGGATGAACGCCTCGGTAGCAGCAAAGAGACCGAAGAAGAAGAATTGGGTGGCACATCCGAGGAAGGAAATGCTTTTGCTGCTTACTAGGAAGCTCGCCATGGCTTTGGGGGCGATGGTGGAGGAGTAGCAGAGGTCTAAGAGCGACAGATTCATGAGGAAGAAGTACATGGGAGTGTGAAGGCGAGAGTTGGCTCTAATGAGGAAGACCATGGTGGTGTTTACCACCACGGTTGTCATGTAAATCACCAGAAACACCACAAAGGGGCCCTCCTTGAGCCCCAGACCACTTCCAAATCCCAGCAGGATGAATTCTGTCAGTGCTGTGTGGTTTATCTCTTTCATTGTCTTCATTTCCTTGAGAAAAGTAATGAGATAATAATTTAAAAATGAATAAAATGGCTAAGGAGAATACACCAGGCTACAGGCCCAATTTCAGCTCACACCCATTGAAAATAAATGCAAGTCTCCCCTTGGCTTAGATAAAAGTGGACTTCTTAATAAATCTCCAGAGGTTCTTTTAGAAATTTTGACTTTTCTGCAGTAGAACACCAATTTATTAGCTTTCCCATATAACAATTATTTACAAGAGTGCAAGATTCTGCTGCTCTTATCTTGATCTTACTCACTGAGATCCATGGGACTCCCCTTGGAGTGAAGGAGTACTCGACATGAGCTAGTGTGGTGAAATGTGGCTCTCAGTGTACACAGTCCTTTATTACAAGGCTAGAAGGCAGCAAGATGAGGATTTAGCGTGCATCAAGCCCAAGAGTTTGTGATTTAAATAGAGCATAACTCTCTCTCTCTCTAAAGTTAGGAAATACCAGGATTAAAGTTGCTTGTGCAACTTTTATTCACTGCCCTATACATACGTTATCACTAGACTTGGACAGATTGGATTTTTAGAGGTACTTGATAGCAAACACACACATTGACAAAAACGGCATTTCCATCAATAACCATTGCAATTTACAGACAGGCAATCAGAAAAACGCTGCTTGACAACCTCATAGAGTTTGATTTAAGGATCTATTTTTTTGTACACTTTGACATGTGACGCTCACAATTTGTGTTGTAGCAGTTTTAAAGCTTTAACATTTTATATCTGAATGTGTACTGTCATTAAATAATTAGTGTCTAACCCCCGTTTTTTGAGCCTCTATAATTTCCCATAACGGTGAAAATTTAAATTGATAACAATTGAAAAAAGGCTTATAAACAAACATTGATATTATACAATGAAATTAACCTGATCACATATTATTATTTCGACAGTACCTCTCCCTCATCCAGTGCACAGGATGGATGGGGCTCACTTACTGTACTGTTATTCAATATTTAGTTTTGTCTTCTTTGATCAGTGAGTGGCCACAAGACTTGCTGACTGCACACGATTCAAACCCTGCTCCAGAGAGAGAATTAATTCCCCCAGGGGCTTTCCTGTAGTGCCCATCACTATAGTATCTGAGCGCTTCACAAACATCAGTGAATTTGTTTTCACAGCACTGGAGATGAGGGATTTTTATTCTGCCCCAACCTTTCCCTTTCCCAGTCCTGGCTCTTCCCCAAGCCTGGCTCCTTGTCCGATCCTATTCTCCTCATTGAGACTGTCTAAGTCCCCTCTTCTCAGGCTTCTCAGCCCAGTCCAAGGCTGGGTCTACACTACCCGCCTGAATCGGCGGGTAGAAATCGACCTCTCGGGGATCGATTTATCGCGTCCCGATGGGACGCGACAAATCGATCCCCGAATCGACGCTCTTACTCCACCAGCGGAGGTGGGAGTATGTGCCGTCGATAGGAAGCTGCAGAGGTCGATTTTGCCGCCGTCCCTACAGCGGGGTAAGTCGGCTGTGATACGTCGAATTCAGCTACGCTATTCGCGTAGCTGAATTTGCATATCTTAAATCGACCCCCCCCCCCGTATTGTAGATGTAGCCCAAGTCTCCTACCAAAACCAGTTTCACTCATCCCTTTGTCTAAATTTCCCCTTCCCACTAGCTCTCAGTCCCAGTCTCCCTCTCCAGGCTCCTCATCCAATATCACTATCTTCCCCTCGCCCCCATCTCATTTCCTTCTGCCAGTCTCTTTCCCCAGCCAGTGCTGATTCTGCTCCTTCACCCTGGCTTCTCGTTGGATTTGTCCACCATGCCTCCTCCGCCCTGTTCTACTGATTCTCAGTCCCATTCTTCCTGCTCTGATAGTCCCAGTATCTCCCCCAGCTCCTCATCTGATCTCAGTCTCCCCGTCACTTACTGGCTATCAACACTGCCCCGCCCCATGTCCTTCCCTGGCATTCAGTCCTACTTTCTTTGCCCAGGTAGTCTCCCTCCCAACTCTCAGCACTAGTTTTATTGCCCAGTTAGTCCCCGTCTATTTCCAAAGCTCCCAGTTTCCTTGTCCAGTCGCCTCTCCATGCCAGCTTCCAGTTTTTCTCCCATCACCTTAGTTAAAAAAATGCCCCTTGACTTCATCAGGAGAACTTTCTTTCTTATTTTCATGCAGAACCTAGCACAATGTGACCCTGATCCTTCATTCTGGTGCTATTGTAACAATTGTAATCATTAAGGCCAGTCATCATTTTTTATCAGCAGAATGGTGACTTTCAATTAAATGAAAATATTCACATAAAATGTCTGCTTTCCTCAAAACAATTCAATTTTTCATTGGAAAATAATTCTCCCTCTCACAGTTTGCAATTAAGTTTTCAACTGAATATTTTTAGTATTTCAATGAAAACTGAAAAGTTTCAGTAAGGGAAAAAAGTTCAGAGCAGCTCTTATAATAACAAACACAATCAAAACTTAGATTTAGTGACACTTCAGGTTGCATCAGGGCACTCCCCACTAACCAGAACATAAAACCATTGAAACCAGAATTGAAAGAAAAGTCTTCTGTATTGCTTGCCACCATCACATTACAGACAACACTGTTGATAATTCACTATGACATTCCATATGGCTTTCAGATCGATCTCCAACAGAAGCCTGAAAACAATACATACCCCAGCTTCATTCAACTTGCAGAACCTTAATAGTGACTTCATGCTCTCTTCTCTCAATAGATCAACAAAGCTGTGTAACACACAGCTCAAGTACTTCCAAAGTGCATCTGCTTTAAAGTTGCTGAGAACTGGAATTTGAAAATTTCACCCCAGACTCAAGGACCACGACTATCATGGCTGTTAGGGTTCTATCAACAGCCAGTAAAGTCACTTTTATCCTGGCAACATCTCCTCTGCACTGACGTCTGAACAATGAGCACTGACTTCAATGATGAGTATTTCTGCTTGGTTCCTAGAAGCTCTGGGACATGGTCCCCGGGTACTTCGTTAGGTTCAAAACTTCAAGATAGATTTTTTTTATTGTTGCTTTGTTCTGGGATTACAGTGATTCACCAGACTGAAATATAGGGCTCACAGGAACTGAGTGTGTTTTTAGTCTTCTTTCCATAAAGATGCTGGTTACCCTCCTCACATGAACATGCCCAGTGAAACCAACTGTGTGACCAGTTCCACAACCCTTACTCTCATTGAGTAGAGCATACTGATGCAAGTAGTTCTGCTGAATAAGGGGTGCGGAATTGGCCCCCATGTGAATAACAATTCCTTTTTTCAAATTTCAGAATTTCCCACAGAATGGGAATTCAAGTTCTAAACCAGCTCTACCATGGACAAAACTAATTGAACAGAGTGCCTTCATATTCAGTCAGTTATGCTGGTACCTTGTGTCCACAGGGTGTATTGGGGAAAGATGTGTTGTACTCTGTATAGGAACCCCAGTGTCCCCTATTGGCACCTTCTAGCATGTTACCTTGTGGGAGATTTTCACAGTGCATTGTGGAATACCTTTATGTCTCTCAGAGACTTGAGGGAATCCAGGGAAAACTGTTGACAATTCCCTCCGTTCCATCCAGTAGCCTGATGCTCTCATGCCCAGTGTATGTATGAATTGTCCACTGCAAAGATGCATGCAGTGCAGAGAAACACAGCACTCTCCTCCATTTTATATATAGAGCAACCCATTCTGTTTTATTTGCTAGGCCCCAGTGTTCAGATCGAGTCACCTGTGGATGAACGAACTGATAGTCCTGCGGATACGCCCGTACAACTTCCCAAGACCAGGTGCACCCAGCAGAGAGGTGGTTTGGGGCCCATCCAATGAGCACTGAATGCAGGACTGGGTTATGATGAAAACTTGGGATGACCAGCAGTTGCTCCAGGACTTTCAGGTGTAGAAAACCACATTCCTGGAACTGAGGTCCAAGCTCACCCAAACCCTGCAGTGCACAGACATTGAGATGCACGCTGTCCAGATGGTGGAGAAAAGAATGCATGTTGCCATGTGAAATTGTGCAACCTCATTTTGCTATCGTTCAGTGGGAAATCAATTTGATTCCAGAAAATCAGTTTTGGAGTACATCATCATGCAGATATGCAAGGTGCGAAATAATGTCTTGCTGTTCTGTGTAGAAAACCTGGGCAATGTGCAGGAAATAGTAGATGAAATCTATGACTCCCCTAACAATGCTGAGTCCTTGTTGTGTGTCCTTTTCCCCAGCTAGACTTTGAGTACATAAATGACAAGGTTTACTACTCCATAGTGCAGAGGCACTGGTGAACTCTAGTGGGTGATTTACTGACATGAATGTTGGCTGGTTGGGAAAAGTCCACACCTCTCAAACTTTTAGAAATGCTGGGCTTCTTGAAAGGCTGAAAGTTAGGGTGTTCTCCCCATACTGTCCAAGTGACTTTAACAGGGTTTCTGTGCCAGCTCTGCCTCTCTCTTGGGGACCCGGCCCATCCTTTCCTTCTCTGGAAGTGGTACAATAACGTAGAGAGAATCAAGAAGAGGTTTTGTGGTCACCTGGGCAAGTTCAGGGTGACTAGGGAGTGGACTTTGAAGAGTAGGTGAAAGTGTTTCATGAAAAGGATCAATCTCTGAGGAGGAAAATATTCCAGCAGCTGCTGGTGCATGCTGTGCAGTGCATAATATCTGTGAAACCAATGGTGAGACCCAGCTACTATGCTGGGTGAGTGATGTGGACAGACTAGATCTGTAAAAAATTTCTGCTCCTAGGCCTACAGTTATAATAATATATGGAGATATACCTATCTCAAAGAGCTGGAAGGGACCTTGAAAGGTCATCAAGTCCAGCCCCCTGCCTTCACTAGCAGGACCAAGTACTGATTTTTGCACTAGATCTCTAAGTGGTCCCCTCAAGGATTGAACTCACATCTTTATGTTTAGCAGACCAATGCTCAAACCACTGAGCTATCCCTCCCCCCAATAGCATTCCCATTCTGTTTAATGACAAGAGAAGAGAGGGTAGAAGTTGATAAAGTACAGTTTGGAGCTGAA